GTGACATTACTGAGATCATTGGGATCAACTACTGTAGTACAACCATCAATGGACCAATTACCAATACCATCTGAATAAAGCAACAAAATCAAACTAAAATTACATAGCATTAGTTACCTGCTCCAGTAAAGTTCCAGAAAGCACAACGAGGATTTGTAACATTCTGTGAATAATAATTTGTAACATACTCTTATCAGTGACAGTCTTACTTCTTCATTTAATGCTAAAATGATTGTAACTGGATCAATCAGTTCAGTACCATCAGGTATTCCACCAACTATTATACTGATAACAGCTGAACCTACCACTGTCATTACTGATGATGAAGAGTTCACTTCTTCACAAACTGGAAAGAAGTTTCCTTTCTTGTATAAAGTTGATGCTACATCGATGTTCTCACTGCTTGTGACATTTTTAATATTCTTGGGTAAAATCACCTTTGCAATGGATGTCAAAGAGCTTAAATTGACAGAAGTAGTAAAATTTAGTTTGTTACCTATCAATAATGATAAATTTTTATTTATGATTTTGTGTTAGGCGTTAGTACACATACTTACTAAAAGCACTGGCTGATATTGTTAATCCACTAAAATTAGCTCTGGCAAACTATTTCATTATAATCAATCATTATATGTAGCAAATGCAATAATCTTACTCTTTCTGCTCTAAACAAAATGTTTTCTTTAGAAATTTTAATTACAGCAAAATTTTTCTGTTCAAATACAACTTGTATGAATTCTTCAAATGACTCGATTATACTGAAATGTGCATTTAAACAAAATAAATAATGTTAACTTGTAACTCACTTATTGGATAAAACATTAGTCACATCCATGGGCCATTCTACTAATAAATTGAGTGTTTGTACAATATTTCCTGTTATCTATTACGCATACAATATCACTATAAGTATCAGTTAATCTACAAACTTACTTCAATTATTAATGGCACTCTTTCATTATTCAAAAGAACAGACACTATTGCTTCCAATACTGTTGATATTACATCAATGTTTTGAATGTTTTGGTCAGCAAGAGTGTGTGCTGCATTTTCCACTAAACTGCTCATATTGAAAGCTGCTGAACCAAAATTATCAACAGTAATGTTTACCTGAAACATATAAGGTATTTACATCTAACCACAATCATAGTATACTCACTTTAGATAATTCATTGAATCCATTTGTAACATCAGTAGTAGCACACCTCATCACATTTGGTAATTCCCAATCAGAAGAAGCAGAGCATATTCTAATTGCTGTAGCTCCAATAGGGCCACTAGGACATGATATGGTAACAGTCATTCCAGCTAGTGTTAGTGGCCATTCAAACTGACCACGATCTGTAGTATTAGTCTGGGGATGGCATGCATGAGCGGGAACTGAAGTTGATGTAGGAAGTAGCAATGATATACTTGATGACGTTGAGGAAGTGTGAAATGTAGTTGGATTGATTATTGAGGGAACAGAGCTTGGTTTTAGTGGAATGGAAGATAATGTCATTGAAGTTGATTTGGGTGATGCCAAAGTTGAGGAAGATGATAATGAGGATGATGAAGTATGAAAGGAAGTAGTTGGGTTGATTAAGGGTGAGATAACTGATGAATGTGGTATCAGAGGAATAGAAAACAATGAAGGTAACATTATCATGTGTAATGCCAAAGATGAAAATAATGTATTTGAAGAGGAAACTGCTGGAGAGGGTAAACAGCATTCTGAAGAATTTGAGCAATATGGTCCAGTTGAGTTACATGATCCAGAACCGGCTGATACTAGAATGCCATTCTCACTATTAAACCCTATCTGAAGGCTTGATACTCTTCTTAAAATTTTATTACATATAGAAACTTGCTGAGGACCAGTAATATCATTTTCAATTGTCACAGAACTAATCCCTGGAAAACAATAGCCTATACTGATCTCGTTACAATCAATCCAGTGAAAGTACAAGTTTGTCGGTCTTGAATAATCAACACTAATACTGTATTGTGTATCTGTATCTGGTTGAGAACCTATAA